GGCTCACATGATTTTTGAAATAACTTTCTTATAAGGGCGCAAAATTTGATTCCAACAGCTCAAAAAGGCGCATAATTAGTCCTTAATTTCGGCGCACAAACATTATTTATGCAAAAATTCGTGATTCCCTCAAGTTGTAAGGGCTCACATAATTTTCGAAATAACTTTCTTATAAAGGCGCAAAATTTGATTCCAAAAGTTCCAAAGGCGCACACTGCATCTACAACTACAACCGAACACCTCATTTTCTATTAGGGCGCAAAATTTCATTTATGCAGTGCACAGCGCCTAATTATGAATTCGATTAAGTCGATTTAATCGCAAATGACCTGACTAAGCCCCGCAATGCAGCAAGCTTGATAACCTTTGCAAACTCGCTCCGTAATTCTAGCTGTCCCCCGACTTCCCGGCGTCTTACGCTTTCACGCGCATTTAAACAGTCAGGACCGTATTCGGGAACGACTCGATAAAGTTTACGTACAATTCGAAGCAAATAAAAACCTTTAACGAGCTCCCGTTACAGCTTGAAAACGACATTAGGGATTTTTAGTACAAAACACAGATACCAATACCGAGCGAGCCTAAGGCGAGATCGGCAAAAATCAACCGCTCGCACAAAATTCTAGACCGTGCTATACAGTTCCGGTCACAAAATACAGATTTCATACAAATGCCGAGCAAGCCGAAGGCGAGATCGGCAAAAATCAACCGCTCGTTCGAAATTCTAGAGCGGGCTATACGGTTCCGGTCACAAAATACAGATTTCATACAAATGCCGAGCAAGCCGAAGGCGATATCAGCAAAAATCAACCGCTCGTTCGAAATTCTGGATCGTACTATACAATTCCGGTCACAAAACACAGATTTCATACTAATGCCGAGCGAGCCGAAGGTGAGACCGGAAAAATCAACAGCTCACCCGAAATTCTACACCGTACTATACAATTCCGGTCACAAAACACAGATTTCATACCAATTCCAAGCGAGCCGAAGGCGAGATCGGC